ATCTGAAAGTGATGAGGTATCCTTTCCCCCATGGAAAGTGGAATCATGGGGGAATTATGCTCTCTCCAATAACAATCAGTACAATTATTTAAAAATATGAACATGGAGTAGATACTAATTTGTAGCCAAGACCTTGGGAATGCTCACTTTGGGCTGCTCTAAAGCAGACCATGGGTCAGGGATTTTGGTCTAAGCATTTTAAATAGCAGTTTATATATTGTTTGATCCCAGAGTTCCAGTAAAGGCTGTATTTGGGGAACTTGACTGACAGCTGATGTACTTTTGACAAGTGACTGAATCTTGAGGGCTCTAATCTTATCAATGAATTAATCTGTTGATGGATTCATAAAATGATGGCATTAATGAAATGTGGTGGAGGGTAAGAGTGGGGGGCTAGTAGGTCCCTGTGTGTGAGTGTGTGTGTGTCGGGGTGTACCTTGAAGAATTCTATCTTGTCCCTCACCTTTTGTCCTTTCTGTTTTCCTGTCCATCGTGAATGAGTGGCTCTACCTCATCATCTGCTCCCTGCCATGATGCTCAGGCTGGCTCAGGCTTACAGCAATGGATCCAGCCCACTAGGAGCTGATGTCTCTGAAACCCTGAGCCGAGAGAAATATTTTTTCTTTGAAGTTGTTATTTTAGGGATTATCACAGTGATGAGAAACTAACACAGAAAATGACATTAATGTAGGAAGTCACCACTGAAGTGAGACAGAATCAAAGGAAGATAATGGCAGGAAGTTCTTGGATAGCCCTTCTGTTGGTGGAGCCAACCCAGTAGCCTGGCCTCCCTCAGGCACCTCTGGGGGGGTTTCAGCAGTTGGAAACTGATGAGTCCTGAAGGCATAGGGATAGGGCTCTAATAAGGTATATTCAAGAAATTTTATAGTACTTTTGCTGTCTATAATTGAGAATCTAATTGCAAGCCCTTGCCCGCCTGGACTGGCAGAATATTTAACTCCATTCATCACTGGTCTTGTCTGTGGTAGGTTGCGCAATGGTTCCAGAAGATTTTTTTTTTTTTAATTAGAGACAAGCCACCTTATGCTTTTTACCAACTGACAATTCTTCCCTGTCTGTATACAGAAACTCAATCCCTCAGACAGTTCCTTCTGGAACAAATTTTCCTCTTCTCCCCCAGCCAGCCCTAGTGGGTTCACCTTTTCAGGCTCTGGCGCTAGGACAGAAGTAAGACGTGTGAATGCTTCTTCATGGGGGACAGAAGACTCTTGCCAAGAAGATAGGTTGGTGAGCCCTGGCCATCTTTGCATTGTTGTTTCAATCATAAGGGCTTTTTAATGTCCAGAATTTAGCCACAGCTGGGAGCTTAAGGCCCAAACCGTGTCTCTTCGAGCACAATTTGCTTTTCCTTTCCCAGCTTTTCTCAGGGCACCGATCAGTTGTTAGAACCTGGAAAGTTTCGTCCTCCCTGCATCCGGGTTATGGATCTATCCCTTGAGGATTTCTAATGATGCCCCATCATCCTTAATCCTAAACATCATACCTTCTGTTAGTCCAGATTTACATAAAGGAAAGCCAAGAAGAGTAGCTGACTTGAGTCCCCTCCTCTGAGGTCCTCTGAAGCAAAGCTAACAAAAGGCTATATATCTTTTGTAGCGTGGAGGCAAGAGAAAAAAAATTATCAAAAGAGTAAAACATAAATTAACAACTCAACAGGAATCTGCAGTGGAACCAGAATGAACCGAAACATGTTAGCTGCATGTTATATCCATTCTTCATGCGGCTGTTAATCCCTCTAGCCACTGGAATGCCATCCTTCTGCCCAGCAAACCACAAACCCAGTGCAAACTGCACGACACCAGGTAGCTAGGCAAAGGCCACTATGCTGCCATGTAAACAGAACCTTGCTAAGAATCAAGGTAGTCCCACATAATTAAAAAGTCAGGACTTGAATTAATTAATTCAAAGGTCACCGAAGAGCAAGCTCATTAGCTAGAGTACACGTTTCCTGGTTATAAAATCGATCTCTGTCTCTATTTCCTCTTTTGTCTTAAAGCTTTTTAAAAAAATAAATGCAGTATAAAACTGATCCTTTGAAGATACAGTTGGGTAATTTAAAATACATATATCTTTGTGTAAAAACCACATTTTGAATACAAACTGTTCTATTATCCACAATTCTGGATGTTGCCATTTGGACCCCTGATCATCCCTAACCATCAAGACCTGGTGCACGGAGGCGTTGCCCCTTTCTGTAGCCTTGCCTCGGACAGATTGTCATACAAATGGCATCAAATAGCATCTGGACTTTTGAAATGGTCTCTTAGTCTGCACCCTTGGAGAGGCATCTCTACTATGTGCATCAATAGTTGATTCTTTCTCATGGTTGAGCCATCCCAGTTCATGGGAGAAGTGCATTGTGTTTACTCGTTTACCCACTGAAGGATGCTTGAGTTGTTTGCAAGTTTTGGAATTGGAGTAGGGTCACAACAAACATTTGTCCAAATGCATTTCCATTTCTGTAGGATAAATATCTAGATTTAGGATTCCTTGATCGTATGGTAAGAGTCTATTCATCTTCATATGTAACCAGAAAACGGTTTTCCAGTGTAGTCATTCCATTTTGTATCACCGAACACTGTCATCTGGGTTTTTTCACATCTTCACCAACACTTGATATTGCCAGGCTGTTGAATTCCTCTGCTAGGTGCATGGTGACATCTCACATGGTTTTATACTGTCTCTGTCACTAATGCCACCACCTGCCTGGCTGTTTATTTCACTTCCTTTTTCCCTTCAGTTTTCAGATGATAACTCTAGATGTGTGTATGTACCTTGTGGGTGTTTGTATTTGTTTTGCTAGATGTTTTCTATGATTTTGATTTGTGATTAGTGTCATTAATTTTAGAAAAATTTTAGCCGTTATTCTTTGAAGAATTTCATCTATCCTGTTCTGTTCTCTTCTTGAGGAGTTCCAAATCCGTTACTGGTGATTATTTTGTCTTCTCAGAATGTGCTCTGAGGAAAAAAAAATTATCTTTTGCCATGTCTGTAAGTGTGAATATGTGTGTGCTTGAGTGTGTGTGTCTGAACGATTTAAGAACAAAAGGTACTTAAGTAGTGTTTTTAATGCTTGGAAACTGGCATTTCTCTTTCTTTTTCCAGGCTTGAGTGTGGGGTATCACAGGTCTAGGGAGGAGCTGGGCTAAGTAACCCAGGGTGTAGCACAGGCTTTGCGTTTCTTCAATGATTCCTTACTTTTGAGGATGTGGTCACTACTCTATCAGAAGATTTCTGCTCTTTCTCCCTAGAGAGAAATTTCCACAAGCATTTTTTTCTATTTGGTTTTTCCGAGACAGGGTTTCTCTGTGTAGCTTTGTGCCTGTCCTGGATCTCTCTCTGTAGCCCAGGCTGGCCTCGAACTCACAGAGATCTGCCTGCCTCTGCCTCCTGAGTGCTGGGATTAAAGGCGTGCGCCACCACCGCCACCCGGCTTATTTTGCACTATTTTACTTTAACCTTTGTACTGTTTCTTTGAGACTCTCATGTATGTACATGCTTTGTTGTTTCTTTGAGACTCTCACGTATGTATATACTTTGTCTTGATCATACCAGCCCCATTCCTCCTCTGCCACCGCTCCCATTCTTCCCATATGCCCCTCCCAACGTCGTTTCTTCTTTCATGGTCTACTGACACGGATGTCCGCTACTGTGTGGGTGATGAGGGTGTTGCTCTCAGATTTCCACTGTAGCTTCAGTCTCAGGCAGGTCTTGGGAGCTTGGGTCCTGGGGCTGTGGCTCTCACAAGTGCACCTGTTTTCAGAAGCCTCGGTCATCCTAGAGCATGACCCTGCCTTTCCTTGCAGGTGGGGCTTTAACAACCCTGCTCCCTTCTCACTGGTAGATCTCATCGGAGGTACTGCTCCCCACTCCCACCCCTCCCACCCCCGTGATGAAAACCCTTCCATGTAGAATGCAGGAAGGTGGGTCTGGGGGTTTCTGCAATGTCCCTGGTATTCTCTGGACAAAAGCTTTCTCGGGATTTCCCCTGATTTTCCAGTAAGTGTCTGGTGGGGTTTACAGAGTGACACTCCACAAAGAGAAGGCTTTAGACTCCTGCCCTCCTGTCTGTGGGCAGTAGGAGCTTCACACTCTCATTGAGATGCTCCAGCCTTTAACTCTAAAACTCTAGGGAAATCTTAGCACTGGATTTGCACTTGGCACCCTTTGCCTAGGTGATGCGTGTGGCTGCCCCCGCCCCCGCCCCCATATGTGGCCTGTTTCTCTTTATCTTTGGATAGATGTTTGCCTTGTGAATCCGGGTGTCTGAAAGTTCAGAAAATGTTGCTAACCTGCTTTTTGCTGCAGTTTTTCCTGTTATATATATGACCACTGTGCCTTTTCCTTTAGAGACAGAACAGAAATGCGCACTCTTCTTTGAGAGTTTATGTTTCTAAGCTGGGATTTTCTGTATTGTGTTTTCCTTGTCTGGGCTCATGCTTCTCACTGTCAGGGCCTTTAGTTGGCTCCATTTCTCCCTCAGTTACTTTGCAATTTCCACAGCTATGGTTTAGATGTAGTTGACTCCCTGATGCCCATGTGTTGGATGTTGGGTCCTCAGGAGGTAGGACCCGTGGAGGTGGGGCCTGGTGGGAGGTTATTAGGTTGTCAAGAATGCTGCAGCAGGAACCAGAGCAGTTCTTCCTGGACCCTGGTTAATGCTTGCAGAATTGATCCTGGCTCCACCTAGCCTCTCATGCTTCTTACCTACCTGTGAATTCTTATTCCCCATGTATTTCTTTGTCTATGCCAGCATCTACCGTGAAGTCCTTGCCAGAAGTAAATAATCGAGTAGAGAGGAACCCCCTCCCCCACTTTTCTTTAAAAAGTTAGCTTGCTTCCAATATTTTGTCAATGTAATGTACAGCATATTAACACTCCTACTTCCTCCTCTCTGGTTTTCCTTTGCTTTCTTGTTTATTTGCTTGAATATGTTTCGTTTGCTTGGTTAATTGACTGTGTGTTCATGTCCCTGCTAGTTAACGTCCTACGAGTTACTCAAGCCCCACGAAGGAAGCAGCTTTTCCATGAAGACTCCTGGCGCACACCAGAAGGAGCCTCGTCCCCAGTGGCAGACAGGTTCCTGATACTCTTCGAGCTGTGAGAGGAGGAAGGAGGTGTTGACTGTTTCTCAGCACAGCCAGGAGAATGCAGATGGCGCCTTCACTCAGCAGGGGGTTGCAGATGGAAGGCAACACCCAAGTGCCACCACTCTCCATGCGCCTGCACGCTCCACTGTTACTAGACGTTCAAGTGTGTGCACACCACACACACACACACACCCTACCCCAGACATCGTCCTGCGTTTCCCTGGCAAAGTAAGAAGCAAAAATGAACTCACTCTCCCCCCATTTAAGATAGAAAATATCCACATTGATTTCCTCTAACTGCAATGTGTATAGGAACACTGCAGAAAAAAAAAAAAATCCAACGAAACAAAAATGTAGCCAAGATCTGTTTTCTTTCTCCCTCTCCTCCAGATCAGAGCACCATGGCTTAGATTTTGTTGTACACTCCCCAGTAGTTTTTCTATTTGTATGCAGAAGGGTATGTGCCTTCGTTTCTAAAATGTCAGGCTAATACACTTGACTAGTGTGAAGACACGGTTAATGGAGGTTGCTTTCTTCCTCCCCGCCTCTCCGGGCTTGCTGCTGAGAGGGCTGGAGTGAGACGCAGCTAGCCAGAGAAAGCTGCGGCAGCTTTAAATGACAGTGTGTGTGAAAGCCACAAAGAGAAATTGTAAAATGGCTGTGTGTTGGGTGTGTGTGTGTGGGGGGGGGGGTAGGTGTGCACTCTCATGTTTACAAACAGGGGCCACTTTCATGGCTTAACCCTGTCAGCAGGGGCCAGGGTCAGGGGCAGCGAGGCCAGAGTGTGTAGGAGCAGGAGCTTCCCTTTGTCCACAAGTCTGGCCTTCACACTCCACAGGAAGAGCCCCAGCTCTTTCCAGCTGCCGCCTCTTTGCTAAAAGGTCATTTTGCCCTTGTTCCTCTCACAGCGGTTCTGGTTCCCCTGACAGGAGGAGTGCTGGCCTCAGCTTTGATCTGCAAGCCCAGGACTCCTGAGGGAGCCCAGACATTCCTAGTAAATGTGTATTTGTGTCATGCCTGCCTGGATAAGGAGGGTGCTGGCTCGACTTTTGATGTCAGCCCTCCACTTGGAGCAATTGTGTTCTCTCCACTGACGACTGCAGGGAGGGGGGGGGGGGCTCCCAGTTCTGTGCGTTTACCAAATGTTCTTCACTTTCAGAGAATGGCTTAGTGCTGGTGAGAGCCGGCAGCAACCAGAAGCTGCAATCTGATGGTTCTTTAAGTCAGTCTGTCCTAACATTAACAGCAGCCAGGGACTTCCCTGACTGAGAATGCAGACCTTGGATTATGCCCAAGATTTAGCCAAACAAAGCTCTCACTTATCTACAAGAGGAAGATGGATTCTGTTGGATTCTCCTATGAGAGAAAAGCAGACCAATCTTAGATACTTCTGTAAGGTCACCTCAGAGACTGTGCTGACCCCACCCCATCCCTGCCACACTGGTCTCCATAGCTGGCCTCTCTGCTCAGTTATGCTGACTCTTAATGTGACTAATAATTAAGAGTGTTGATTCTGTGTGGGGTGGTGCCTGGATTCCAGCCTTCCTTCCATCTGGTAAGCTTCCCTCTGAGCCGGAGCTCCTGCTGACTGGGGAAAGAAAGAAGCCTTACTAGTGTTGATTAATCCTCCCCTCTGACTGAGCAAGGCCTTGGACCCCACAGGGATTGGCTCAGTCTGTGTGCGCCCAAAGGATGATGGGGAACAATTCGTGTTGCCTGCGTTTGAGCCAATGCCAGGCCACAGGCTTGGGGTGGGGCCAAGTGCACCTTTTCCTAGACACCGAGGAGCATTACAACCAACCCAATGTAGTATTTGCAATCCAGGAAAATGTACAGGGGTAGGCACTGCAGCAATTCAATGCTTTTCCTATTTCTTGTTGTTAGTTTAGTATGAACTCACATATTTGCTCAAGGAACATTTAATTTTGTGCCAGAGAATTCGCTGAGGCCTGAGAGCAAAGCAGTTGGGATGTGCACACAGTTCGTACCAAGGAGCAGTGGGGGTGATGGACGGACGGGACATAAAGATGTAGCTGAGGAATCCCCAGGCCTGTCGTGGGAAGGGAAGTCTAGGATCAGAATCACAACCAGCAAGTGGGAATGGAGAGTGAGCCTGGGGCAGGATCACCAGACGTTACAGACGAGGCCAAGCCTTTGAGGAACCATTCCTTCGCTTACTAATTCCTGATCTATTTAACAAATACTACAGAATGGAAATTCCATTTTCTGTGAGGTGCCGGGACAGAAGGGTGCCCTACTCTTCAACTGAGTCATGTGCCCACATCCTAATCTGTAGGACCTGTGAAGAGTTCTTTATGTGTCCAAAAAAATGTGATTTAGGTAGGTTTCTTCACAGGAGGAGTTTGTCTGGTGGACCCTAAATATAATGGTATGCATCCAAAAGAGGCAGAGGGAGCTTGGAGGCAGACACGGCAAGGAGGCGGCAATGTGAAGACGGAGGCAGACTGCATTTTGGTCAAATGTTCCCTTCACATTGTTGTGGCTGTCATCTCATATTTGTGGGTGGGTGGCTGAGACTTGTGGGAATAAGGACATTCTCTCAGTTTGGATTGAGAAGAAGAGGCAGTGTTTCAGGGTGTGTTCTCGATTGCTTGCTGTGGTTGTGATAAGACACTGACCAAAAGCCCACCGGGGAGGAAAGGGTTTATTTGGTTGTCCTGTCCCGCTTCTAGTCTGTCATTGAGGTGAAGTTGAGGAAAGAGCTCAGGGAGGCGCAGAGGCGGAGACCATGGGGGAACACTGCTCACCGGCTTGCTCTCGGTGCTTGTTCAGCTAGCTTCCTTATACAGTCCAGGCCCTTTTCCCCCAGTGATGGCACGCCCCCACACACAGCAGGCTGGGCCCTCCTGCATCAATTAACAACCAAGAAAACACCCCACGGACATGCCCACAGGCCCATCTGACGGAGTCAACCCCTCAACTGAGGTTATTTCCTCCCCGGTGTGTGAGGCTGACAACGGAGGCTAACTGTGACCAGGGGTCTCAGGACAGGCAAAGGGGTCGTTTCTTGCATCTATTACTTATCCACTGTGAACTGGGGTGATGGTGCTTAGTGGGGTTCTGCTTGTCATTGTCACTCGGCTCTGGAGGGCTAGAATGGCCCTGGAAACTGAGTGAGGCGTGGAAAGAGAGAATGAGACCCACTCAGGGCTTGCCCCTCTCTACCCAGTGACCCACAGCATCTTCCCACAGTCCCCTGGAACACTGGTGACAGAGCTGGGCGTACTGGAAATGGCCGAGAAGTGGAGGAGAGCAGCCAGAACATTTGGTGAACACCACAGACTTTGCCGTAGACAGAGAACTCTCCTCCAACTGGATGCTGCTAGTGGCCTTGTATCAGTGGCAGGGAATGAAGGTGTTTCAGGGTCTGTGTCAAGGTCCTGTGGTCGACACGCCTACTTTCTTCTTCCTGTGCAGCCCACTGCTGATTCCTCTGCAGGGGCTCAGGAAGAGGCACCAAGGTAGGTGTGACTAATTACTACTTCTATACACAGAACATTCAGTGGGCCATTTTGGACTAACTGGATGAGGTTAAGAACAATCTGAAGGTGCTCTGCATAAGAACTGACCAAATATGGCTATGTTGAACAGAGGCTTTAGGGCAGGGTGAGGTCATCCAGAGAATAATACCACAAGAACATGGCCATATTGGGCTGGGAGTGGAGGCTCTGAGCCTAGCTCAGACCAGAGAGCAACTCAGGGTTCTGCAGACAGTGGGAGAGCCTGATCTCCTGTGCTGTTCTCCACCCATGACTCCTCACATTATCCCAGAAGTCCTGTTCCCTGGACTCGAGCTCACATCAGTCACTTGGGATATTTTGGGTTCCTCTGTGTGTTCAAACCTGGGACCAAAACATACCTCATTCGTGACAGCCAGCTCCAGCAGAACTGGGGTATGAAAGCTGCTTAGCTGGGTTTCCAGCTCCAGTGATGCCAGGGTAGAAATGCCACACAGCCTGCAGCAGGGAATTGGGCTAGCCTAGATTAGCAGAGCTCTGCTGTGAGTAGAGAGACTTGCAGATCGGCGCCCTCATGCCATCGTGCTCCAGCTGCCACCGGAAGCTATTGTTTCCACAGATGTCTGAGCCTACTGTCCTCTGGGCTGCCTGAGCTTCCTGCTCCCCTGGTTGGGGTGCAGCTGCAGAACACTGCTCTTCCACACTGCCGCTGAGCCAGTTCCTTCAGCCTGGCGACAGGCCACCTGTCTTATCTTTCCTCATTCCTAAAGGACGGTTGCTCAAAGTGGTGTCTGCCATGGCTGGGGGTGCGTAGGTTGGGGCGGGGGAAGGGAAGAAGCTGGCACACACAGAATATGTTTGGGGTGCTTCTCATCATCCCAACAGTGTTTCTGAACATGAAAGGAAATATTTGTTTCCAAGATGTGTAAAAAACCCCAAACAAGTATGCATGTGAAACCACTCATATTCCCATTAACACGCCAGTCCTAGTCATCTGGAGAGAAATCACAAAAAATCCTAGAAGGCCTTTTCCCCCATGGAGACCTGAATCTGACCAATCAGTTGAACTCAGTTTACCCACAGCTGGAGTCTTGTCCCTGCCCAGTTTCCCTTCCATCTCCTATTTGTGCAGTATCTATTTCCTCTAGGAGGCAAACAGCTGTTGGCCAGATCCTCAAGTTGGGGCTGTATCTCTTATCTGGCCCTCAGCTGCTGGGGTAGAAGCGGGTGGGAGGTGGGGTTGGTGATGCTTGCCCAGGTAAACTGGGACCTCACTGCTTATACCTCCTGTGAGTAGGAAGGCTCCAATTATACGTGCCTGCTTTTAGTCTCCAGAGTGCTGGAGTCAGTCTTTGCCTCATCGGGCCTGTGGACTAATGGGGTGTCCTTCCCTTCTCAGCAGAGGCAAGCTGTTGCCGTTAGCATCTGTGGGTTTGTGATTCTGCTCACTTGCATCTTTATAGCTTTGGTTCTTTTGTGACCAGGGAAACTGGGGGTGGAGGGGTGGGGGAGCTCTGAGTTGTAATCACAGTATGAATGTGCTGTATGAAGGGAAACCTGAGAGTGCCCACATCACCAAGTCCTGCCAGGGGTCTCACCACAGGGACCAGTCCTCAGAGCTCAGTAGGGTGGGTTCCAGCACCCAGTAGGGCGGTTCCAGAACCCAGGAGGGAGGGTTCCATTTTGCTTTTCCTACAGATTCACCCAGACAATAGGGGAGGAGCAGAAGACTTCTCTGAAGTCACCTGTCTTCAGTGCATGAATCTAGACAAATTCTCAAATATTACTTCAGGTAAATTATGAGACCTGCTTGTTTATTTATTTATTGAAACCAAA